TAGTAAACAATCGAAATTTTCATCAATTTTACTGTTTGTTTCAACTAGTCTTCTTACCTGGATGCTGAACTGGTGGGCTTTACTGTGGTGGACTGTAAAGCAAGGCTCTCAGGGGTTTCCCTGAGACCGGCCGCTTTGTTGTTTTCTTTCAGCTGCATTGAGATGATGTTAGTAAGGCTGATATATTCCTTATGGAGCCTCTTTACTTCCTGCCGCAGCAGATTCCTCTCAGTCTGAACAGTGAGCAGGCAGCACTCTAGTTCATCCAGCTCCTCCTGAACTCTCTCTGCTCCACTTTCAGCATCTTTTATGACCTGACCGCTGTGGTCGAGTCTCTCTCTTAGAGTCTGGTTTTCCTGTTGTAGCTGAGTTAGGATCTTCCTCTCGTCGGTTATTTCTGCATCCTGTTTCATTCCATGAGATTTCCTGACTGGTTCTGTTAAGTTATTTACCCTCTCTTGGAGCACAAAGACTGTTTCTCTAAGTTGCTGCTTCTCCTGGTGTTCACGGCATGGGAGTCTCTCCAGATCTTCAGACTGAGGTCTGTCCTGCTTTAAGACCTCTGTAATTCTTTGCCTCATTTGCTGGTTTTTAATGAGAAGTTGTTTGTTCTTCGTTTCCAGGTCTTTGCTGATGTTTTTAAACTCTTTAAACCTCTTCACAAATCTCTGCAGCTCTGTTTTGCATTCTCTTGAATAGGTCTCCATCTTTTTAAGCTTCTTCTTAACTTCTAGGTTTTCCTTTTCTAACCGTGTGCACTTTTCTAAATACGCCTCAAATGGACACTTACGGGTAGCACAGCTTGCTTCTTGTTCTTTCTTACTCAAGCTATCCTCCTTAAGAAGCACAGTGCCTTTAAGGTTTGTGGTTGCTCGAGACTTGCTGTCCATAGCATGGGCTCCTCCTGCTCTTGTTTGCATGGCAGGGTTAGAATTTAACCCACATGGTGAACTACCGTCTGAAAATCTGGACTTCTCCATGATATCCGTGGCTTTAAGAGATGTGTGTCCTTTAACAGGTGTGTAGGGCTATTTGCTTTCGCCTTCACCCTGTTCACTGATACAAGAAACGTCTTTCCTTTTGTGTCTGATTCCTGAAAAGGATAACCTTATTTACCTCAGTTTAGAATAGCGACCATTTGAACCGATTTTAATTACTAAAAACAAGAAATATATATACAATATCATTAACTGTGTAAACCAACCAACAAACAACTTGATTCAACCGAGTAAAATTAATTGAAGGTCCGTTCACAGTTCACACCAACAATACAAATAGCCTAAAGATAACTAACCATAACGTTATTAGTTTATAACCAAGGTTTTATTTAATATCTATAAATATCTATAATATAATAAAAGGAATAATATGAACAGAGCAGGAGTAAATATACATTTATAACCTATTACCTATTACTTAGGCTAATTATTACTTACGAAGCTAACATTATGCAAGATGCCAACTCATTTTATACCATTTATTACCTATTTGTAATATTCGCCTCATTAGGTTATCCTGATTCTATCTGTGGGTGAAAAATACATTACCGCGAAGTGGAAGACACTTTGATAATTCGCTTAGGCTTCTTACTTCGACTCACATTTAGGCCTACGTTACATTAATTTGAGTGTATCTATGGTAACATGCTAGTCTCCTCTCGTGCGGTTCGCGTCACTGCAGTAGCCTACGTCGCCTCGTGACCTTTTGTTTTTATTATTATTATTTTTTAATCAATTGAAGATATTAGTCGCGCGTTAGTTCAATATTGTTTCATTTCCTGTATGACCAAAGGGTAATTTTGACCATCGGTCGATTTGAGTATACAAATTGTTAGGTTCAAAACTTACATGATCCCGATTAATTAATATACAGCAGGCAGTCTATTGCAAATATTTTTTTTATAACAGCAATTTTTGTAATATGTTTCAGCTTCTGCAACATCTACTGTATGTCCAAGTTGCCTGTAAGAGGTAACAGTGAAGAAGTATACAGAAATTAAGGGCATGCTTGAGGTAAATGTGATAGATAGAGAAAACAGAATGAATAAAAATAAGGTAAATTTCACTTGGGTGAACATTTTTTTTTTTT